ATGTGTTTATTGCATAGCATGTGGCGTCTGCGAACATAAATACATTGGCATACGAATCAAGGAACATCAAAGGCTCTGTCGTAAAATGGATACTAAAAGATCAGATAAAGCTGAACATATCGCAGAAACTGGACACGAGATCAATTGGAAGGCAACAGATAGAAGGGCCCCATACAGTGAGAGCACCAAGAAACGGAAGATTGTGGAAACCAATAACATCGTTAGGGGAAAATGTAAAAGGCATGAGATTGGAAGAAGGCAAAGTTAGTGGTAACTTAGCCGTTTGCCCAATCAAACTCCGAGAAAACAGGAATGCAACAAGACAAGCAAAACGTAGACGCCCGGATCAAGGATCTATCGTAAACCAGAGGAAAAGGGATCGCAAAGAAAAAGAGAGTGAGGAAGTTTCGGAAATAAATCTAGAACGTTCTGAGTGAGTTGAGTCCGCTCGAAGAAACAACTACCACAACTTAGTTTCTCGTAACTAGGCGATGGATTCGGTCACATAAATCGGACATTATGACAAAATTGATAAATAATCCACTTAAGATGCAGCAGGCGACCAGAGATAGAAGTCCACGAGATGATACGTGAAAAGAATGCCCAATATCTGTATGCATGTAAATCATAGTTTAGGCGCTCTGAAGATGAGGCGACTTCTTAAGTGCTACAGAAGGTTGGAGAAATAGCGTCTGGAGTACAAGTAGACTGGGTCTGGATCCGAATGAAATTGGTCAACCAGAAATAGAAGAAACGGTCCAGCGGGCCCATGAGGCAGATCCGGACAGGAGACCAGAGCAGGATCAGCCACTTGAAAGGGAGATGAGGATGGGAGACAGTAGGTGTGATGACGTCGCTGTAAATCCGCCAACTTGGCACATCTTTTGTAGAATTTAAACATTTCAGAAGTTGTGATAGGACGAAGGTCAGACTAGAGGGTAGGAAATGGATAAAGGGACCAGAAAAAAGTGGATGCTGATAGCAGAAAGTTGATCAAAAGATTGACTTTACTTGTTTCTTAGACGAGTTGTAACTTAGTGCAGAGAATTGCTGATGATGCCGACTATGATGCCGTCGAAACGTCCACCGTCCGACCCTGGAAATGCTCATGGACTCCGGACATGATGCATTCCTCTAGGTCTTTCTGTCATCATGATCAAGTTACAAAACCAAAGTCAAACAACTTCTATAATCGCAAAAGTTAATACTAATATTTACACGAATCCTTTCTCAAAAATATGTTGTCTGAGAATTTCTTAAATGTCATAACTGTATCAAAAGTTTTAGATTTTAAAAGTTTTGAATATTTTCTAAAACTCAACTGTAAATAGCATAGGCAGTTAAAAACTTTGCTTACATTTTATATATTATATTATTGTAAAGTTACAATCCCATATATTGAATAGGTCGTGTCTTAGACTTATAATTCAGTCCTATTGGGAATCCCTCATAAGGTTGAGCCAGCTGTACCACATGTTTCGTCGCCTAGACTTTTATTTTGCCTTTTTTCCTAAATTTATTCGCATAATAAAGTAGCTTAATCACTTACTTTGTCAGAAGTGCTCAAATTCACAATTTTTTGCATATGACAGTAATGCTAAGGCTGTAGCGGTATGCCGCACTGCATAAATAGGCGAAGAAAAGTTGGGTTTCGTAGAATTTCTTATTCCATAATTGTTGAGCTAACTTTCATTTTGAACAAAAATGTTTGGTGAAGAGATTCAGAGGTCAATACCACCAGAAGACGACGGCGGATTCCTCTCTATCAGCCGTTGATTGTCTTTATGGGAACATTCTTATTAACACAGTTCTCTTGACTCGTTAGCTTCAATTTGGTTGTAATGATGATACCCTGCTCTGATGATGTCCGTCATACGACAGACGAGAGCTTAGGGCGTTTTCACCGGAAACAACATCAACAAGAATGTTCCAGTAAAGCCAATCGACAGCTGGTCAAGAGGAATCCGACGAACGTCTTCTGGTGGGATCCACCTTCGAATCTCTTTGCTGAAAACATTCACTCAAAATGGAAATGAGCTCAACAACTGCATAAATATACTAAAGCAAAGGCAATGAATGGTGTGGGCTAGAATGACAAGTTGACTCATTTTTGTAGCAATTAAAACATGGCTGGGATACTTAACATTTCCAAAATACTGATATATAAGCGTTACTTGTTTCTAAGGAGTTTACGCTGCAATAGATAACAAGAAAACTTATGAGCAGCATATAATCTAGATAGGATAGATGAATAAAAATATATATACTTATAAATTAATTTTCCCTCTTGAATTGCTGATGTTAGGGGTAGATTTCCTTTCCATGTACAGTTTTCTGCTCTCATTACTGGTGAAATTAATCACTGCCCAATGTATTGCTTAAGAATATATTTTCCAGAAATATGTGCACCACATATACTGGCGCGAGAGGCCAACTAACTTGTTTATTCTAAAATATATTCAAGAAATTATCATTTAAAAGTATTGAAACCATTATCTTTATTTATAGCTTGTTAATAAGTAAATATCTCAATTTAACTAAAGATGAAAGATTGACTTGGAATTAATTTATAAAGGACGTTATATAAACTATTTTGAGGCAATTTCAAATGAAAAATAATTTGGATTCACAGCAAAATTTGATTTGTTATAAAATTTATACGATTATATATAAAAAACACAAATACTATACATTGATAGCCCTCGTTTTCTTATATAATATTAATACTAAGAATTGGTATTTGCGTTAATTATGATTTATTAGCTATCATTGATAATTCTCGCCTAATTTTTTCAAATGGGCAACTAAGTTGATAAAATATATGAAAACCAAAATGTTGTTGCCTCTGGTATGATCGCAGTCCCCTTTTAATTTATAGGAGTGGGTTGACCTCCTTGTCGCACCTTGATCTTGTTGTCAGGGCGACTTAGTACAACTCACCTAGTCCGAAGTCGTCTGTGATAGTTTTTGTCATGCTTCCCAGCATCAGACATTGGACTTGGTACATTCTCAAATGTTTCGCCTGCATCGTATTCCGCATCATCATTGAGTTTTGCCATTCACCGCACCAAGCTACTATCTCGTCAAAGAGACAAGTGAAGTCAATCCCTCGACAAATGTTCGACTAGGCGCGTTCTACTAAGTCCTCCTGACAACAAGACTAAGTTGCGACAACGAGGTCAACCCACTTCTCTTAAATATTTAACCAATCAATTTTGGAATTTAATATTTTCATTTTATTTTGGGTAAAAGGATTAAACGAATAAAATAGCATTTACTTAATATATCTAATCGTAAAAATAGCTTAATGAATCCGAATAACCTTATTTATTTTAGTTGTATTGACTTATACAAAGATATAAAACGATATTCTCTTACCTAAAAAGATATTTAAAAATAAAGTATTGTAGTAAATTCTTTATATAACTTTTATTTTCATATATAAATATTATAATAAAATAATATATATAAGCGAGCAATAGATAAGATGCAAATATTTATGTTGATTTACAATGTATTAATTTACATTTTGCAGATATATATGCATACGTATATAAGCATTTTGAATATTTGTATATATATATATATATATATAGTTTGGTAAAATGTCTGTATCTCTGATATGATGCAGGGCACCATTAATCTCAAAACACTATGGGCTCCATTGTCCTGCAAAAACCGATATTATGGTGAGTTAACAAAAATTAATGTGAAGCAATTCTATATAATATAAAAGATTTTTTAAACTTTCACTTTAATATCATTGGTTCCAAAATATATCTGCAGATGAGATAAGAAATCCTGTCAATTTTTTTGTATTAAATCAAGCTTCCTATCGCCTTTTGTTAAATAAAATAAGTTTAACTTTTTACAATGAGGCAGAACATTAATTAGTTGACCATTAATGTTACTATTTTAATCTATTTACAGACCATTAATCTACTGATTTATTTCTCTCCTCAAGAATAAGGGTGAATTTGTACTTTTTGCACTAAGCCTTTCTACTTTTTAATCAGATATCTTTGTATGAAGGTTACAGAGTTCAAAAGCATTGATATTAATGCAGATTATTTTTTCTGTTTTCCGGAAGACACAAATCTCTTGCTGTCTCCGACCTAGTGATTTGGCATTTCCCTTAGCAATATAAGTACCATATCATTGCTTTATTTATTTTGTTCCAAATTTTAATTTAATCCATGGACAACTACATCAGTTTTTCTCAACTATGGGATAATTCAAGGATAATAAAATATAATATTTCAAAGCAAAACTTTATATATTTATTTCTAACAATCGATATTTAACACTCACCAATAAATCTTGAATAAAAAAGCAAATAAAAATTTTTATCATCAATCATCTAACCATAAAGTATGATATGAAACAGGCCTTGCCAGGTATAAAATTCACGCTCTCTTTGGCCTACTGGCACTTGGGTACAATGGAGCGCAGGGATAGCATGTCGAAATTATGCAATGTATCGTCAGGGTTCGATTTCTGTTGGAAGTGCTGCTGGAGCCCAGACAAGGTAGAAGCTACAGTTAACCTTAGATGAGAAAACTTCTTGACAAGCAAGGCTAAATAATCGTAAACATTCAACCTACATCTTATGAGACTTATAATTTGAATACTATTTATAAAAAGTATAATTTAGAGCACGTTTACCTATTTTGTATTGAGTTTATCTAAGACATAGTAATTTAACATCACTGCGAGTTTGCCGCCGTTTCCTGAATCATAAACGGACTATCCCTGGATACTTATGAAATAAAATATATCCTATGTGTAAAAAAAAGATTTTTGATATATTTTCAGTTTCTGAGTTCCACTTGCTAAAATAAGGCAACGTTAATGTTTTTCGTTTGTCAGTAGGGATTTGTGACTACATCTCATATAACATAGATATTCAATGCATACTCTCAGTAAACAGGGTATATATATATATATATATATATATATGTAACAAGAAAAAATTAATTATTTTACTTTTCTTATAAATCTAAATATAGGTGCCTACGTTCGATACCAAATCATTTGTATATGCTCCTCTTAGGAATTTTCATCCTTAGATGAACCAACCGTGAAGTTAATCTGTGAGTTGTCATATTTCAACAAGTTAGTATATTAGGATGAGTGTAAAGTAAGTTATGATAAATGAACGAGAAAGCTCAAACTTTGCACTGAATGTCACTTCACCATTTATCCCAAGTTAGATTTTAGTACCCCAGGTGGAGTATAACAATAAGCGTATGAGTTGAAATGCTTCTCAGCCAATCGAATTTAGCCCTTGTGTGATACTAGGCAAGTATGAAATTTAAAGCAATGCCCTCCATTTGAAGCTCGCATTAGTACCCGGTGTGTGACCATGTGCTTGTCATAAATTTTATTTTTCTATATCTTATATGGAATATGTTTCGTATGAAATAATTGGGAGTAAATTTCTTACATCTTAAGCCATAAGCCCACGTTTCAAAACCCCACTAATTATACTATGGCCCAGTTTGCATGAGAAAAGCCTATAAGGATGAAGGCCAAAGTGGAATTTATTGCAAAAAGCGAGCCATGAAAAGATAGGCTATTAGTCGAAACTGGTAAAACATGGCAATAAGCAAACCTCTGTCGGCCAATAAATGAGCAGTTAATAAGACAAAGACCGTTAATTAAAAATTCAAATAATTTGCTGAAGGTTTGTATCTAGACAAACTTACTAAACTACGTAAATACTGTCTTGGTAAAATATGGCACCGTATTGAGAATATTAGCGATAAAAGAGATTTAGTGGAGTGCAAAGTGAAGCACACAGGAAGAAAGATGCATCTAATTTTTCTATGCTACTTGACTTTCGCAAGAATAGTCTTTTACCTTCCGGAATATTTTACTTTCTCAGCAAATATTAAGGCT